AAGGTTTGATCGCCGGGCGCGCACCTGCACCTTGACAAACGAGCGGCTGTGTCTTCTTGCGCGCTGGAATTTCTGTCTCGCGACTGGTCGTGACACCAAAACAAGCTCCAAGCGAACCCTGCAGTCTGAGTATATATAGAACAAATTCCAACAGGCAAGCAGCTCTAAGTCGGGATCTGACTTAGCTGCTTGAGATCCGAGGATCTGAGCATTGCCTTTGGCATGTCTCATCATGAGGAAAGAAAAGGCCGTCGTATGCCCTGCTTGTTTACAACATGTGCAGTTGCAGCACCTTACTCCATGTTGCAGGAGTGAGCAAGGAGACACCCAGTTTCCCATCGCACTCTTCCTTTCAGATTGGGTTCGGGTCGAGATTCGTCACCATGGGACGCGACTTTCTGAACAAACTAAATCGTCAACCCGCTGGTAGGGTTGGTTTCGCATCTGTGTGCTTTAACTCCTTGGAAATCCCGCCGAATCCCAGGTCTGCAAGCAGGGCCATCATCGGTAGAGGTGCTAGTTTTGGCTAGGGTCACTTGGACTTAGGGCTCTGGTTGGGTGGCTGGTTGAATTGGGAGTGGTTTTGGGCTGGCTTAGATGTTATTTAGGGTGGGTCTCGGGTTGGTTTGGGCTAGGCTCAGCAACGGCCGATATCCAGGTGTAGAGTTGGCTTTTGGTGGGTTTGGGTGTTCTATGCAAGCCTGGTCCAGCAGAAAGGAAAACTCAAGGCGTCATGTTGTTGCTTTGTAACATGCTGTAACACTGTCAGGGGACTCATGGAAGGCCTGCACAAAAGAGCATGTTCCTGAACAGGACTAGTGGGACTCACTTTGTGCGAATCAACAAGGAGGGGTTTCGCACGTATGCTCTTGGATCTCCAAAAGTTGCAGTTTCGTTGGCACCTAGCAGAAGACCTCAGTTTTGGACGGGGAAATCCAGTGACTCTTGCCCAGAGTGTAATTACCAGTTGAGAGCCGGAACAAATTGATCCCAGGTGATGTAGAGCTGAGACGCGCCGGTGCCTCAGTTTGCAACCTAGAACGAGGGTATGGCCCGCTGGTGTTGGGGGAATTTGATTCAATGGCCGAACCAGCTGCAATATGCCGATATGCCAATCGCGTGTTGAGGCCTCATGGCGCCATTTAAGGCCTGTTCGCCTCGCAATGCAAGGGCATAGTTGTTCTTGGAGACACTTTCTCGAAGGTCACGGGTGCAGCGGCGTGGAAGTTGGGAGGAGTGGCACCCCTTTCAGTGCTTCGCGAACGCTCGTCCAACGAGCAGTTGGTGCTTGCTAAATGCAAGGAATTGCCGCTTGCCTTTTTGGCCATCGAAAGAGAACATCCAAGTGAAAGCCAGCCCCGTCGATCGCCCAGGGAGCCTCGCAAGCCCCTCTTGCCAGTTCTGGCAACAGGCGTGGCACAGCTGCAGTTGAGTCGTGGTGCTGTTGTTCCTCGCGGTGAATCTTGAGCCTTGCGCCAGGACTCGACAAAGTTCCCGGCAGAGGGGCAGTGCCCGCGATCACGCCAGCCGACAGTGGATCTTTTCTGTGCCCTTCCGTAGCTCTTCTTGAGGGAAGCTGAAGAGGAAATCACGCCTTTTAGGGGTTCCCCGTTCAAAGATAAACCTAGATCAACACCAGCAACATGTTTTGGTGATGTGCCTAAAGGACATCCACATGCAACCAGCCCGGGAGAGGGATCCCTGAGTTTGATCCATTCTCACTTGATATTTGCGTAACAGTCGGAACTTGTTATTTGTTATTGGTAATTGCGCAACAGTCACCACTATATTGTCTAGTCATTTCGTTTTTCCCTCCAGGGTCTTTTAGAAAACCGTTGCCAGGATTTTCAAATATGAAAAGAGGCAGCCCAAACTCGGCACTGTGATGGCTCTTGTCTGATAGACGTGGAGGTCACTGACTCGTCTATGAATCAATATGAGCATCGGATCTGTCAGGAAACTTCGCGGAAGGCAACCATTTGCTTGGTGTCCTTGTCAGCTGCTTGTTTTGTTGCTCGTTTTACAATAAGGAGGTCGCCTACCATGGCACGTTCTGTGCTCCTTGTTCCACATACTAATCAGATGCTCGGTAGGTTCTTTATTGATTGCTTTGCCTTTGCTTGTAACTGGCTATGGGCAACTTCTCGGCCTTACTTGGAAGCTGGACGCGTTTTGAGGCGCAAAGGTACATTTCGAAAGGCCTAGTTTGACTACCGCCACTACGGACCCCCCCCTACCCCCAACTTACCCTTCCACCAAACATGGAAGTGCAACCTCCCCCTCCGTTCCAAACGGAAAGTAGTTTTCCAACAGGGGTTTGCGCACTTCCAGGTTTGTTGGTGGGAGGGTTATTGACTGGTATCTCTCCGCTGTCGGCTATCAGCGTGAAACTAAATCAATGTCATGCACGGCTTGAACACCTGCTCTGATTTGCCGGTGATGACTTTTAAGCCTCTGACAGACCAAACGTTGGAACGGTCTCAAGATGGCGTGCCTTGGTTGTGAGTTTGGAGGAACCAACACAGCTTGAAGCGGATTAAATTCGCTTGTTTTGGTTTTTTTCAATGAAACTGCCGGATATTCTCCTAGCCTCTCTCCCTCTCCAAACAGATGGGTTGCTTCGTTGTTACACAGGCTGCTTAAGCTTTTGACTTGGAACGAGGACCACCTTTTGCGTACTAGATGTCATTTGTTTCAACACTGTGTCTTCAGGGGTCCAGCTTTGCTCTCGCTTGGTGGTGTTTGAATGCAAGAGCACTAACCGAGCACCCTCCGAGCTAACATGATATTTACTCATATTGCAGCATGTGCCATAGACAAGTTGTCTATTGAATATATACTGTTTGTCACGTGTTTGTTGTTGCACTCGGCTTAGAGCTCTGGCCGGTTTCAGACTTGAGCTGTGGTATGACCGCCTCCAAGCGATCAGCAGGACTATCAACTACAGGGGCCCCCTTCTTCCCCCAGGAAGATTCTCAGAGCCATTCCACGAATCCCTTCTAAAAAGGTTCTAAGCACCTTTCCTGTGGGTGGGGGGGCTAACTTTTCCCCTTGGACAATCAACTGGTATCACTGGGTACGCCTGTCTAGCATGGGAGCGGGCTAGGCAAGCAATGCTTTGTACTCAAGATAGTTTGCAGGAAGTTCAGACTTACTCGCTCGGAAAAAATAAAGAAAACAGAAAAACAAAAACAGTGCGTGATGAATCGTGCAACACCGTTGCTCGACATGGTCACTAATTATCCTGCGCGGCGCCAGAAAATAGCTTGAGCAAAACTGGGCAACTGATGCAAACAAACCGCCTAAGGTCCGGATTGTGGTTAGCTTTCCCAGACGCCAGGTATTTGGGCAAAGCGATCTGATTGATAGCTGATTGAAGGCTTCTGTAGACGAGGTCTCCTTTTCCGGATAACTTAGCTTGTTCACGCCAACTTTCCATTGGGTGAGACCCTTCAGACTCTGTCACGGCTTGCGGCGGCATTTGGGATCCTGCCGCGATACGCTCCAGGCTGTGTTGACTTTGGACTTCCGAGGCGCCCCACACTCTCACCCACCCACCCACACCCCCCAAACCACCCCCCCACCCACCCTAAAGCTTGGCCTTGGTTCGGATGCGAAGTGTTCTTGCCCAGGCCATCGATTTTTGACCCTGTAAAGACACAAGAAAGTTTTAGACGCGTCAAAGACGACTCGTCACAGTCATGGTTGTCGTTGTGAAACATCTTACATTTTAGTGGGAAGTCCCGAACACAACTGCTAAAATTTAGATCTTTGCTCCCCTTCCAACGTCAAGCGAGCCGTTGCTCCCACATCTTCATTGTGGCCTTTCCATAGTTTGAGCTTGATACCTGGAGAGAGAACACTGCGGGAATTCTGCGACCTTTTGTCGATGTGACGCGTACGTGGGCAATCCTGACCGTCTTTAAGAGGCCACGCCTATGTTGATTCTACTGGTATCGCATTTATATATGGGCCTGTGTTTTTGAGGCTGCCCTGTTTAGGATTGAACAGGAGCCTCTTCATAAAACCAACCGATTTTGAGGGTCCCTCCATATATGTATACGTAATATGTGTATGATACAATACAATGATCAACTTAAGGATATATATATATATATATATATTTATTATAATAATAACAATAATGATCCTAATACATACATATATATATATGATACTGTGTATGTATATGTTTGAATGTTAAGATCGGCCTGAAGCGCGTGACTCGCGTGGACCATGCGCAGCAACGACAGCCTGCTCATGTGGCCATGAAAATGGTGCTCGACGATGATGGAGCAGGGCTTCGCGTGCTTCCGCTGTGGGATGGATGAAACACCCAGCTTTTTGGGGGCAATTTTAAGGGGGGGTGCTTTTGGTTTGTCATTTGGTCCAAGGACATCTTCGGACAACTCAAGACGATTGAAGACTTGAGCATGGGTTTGAGACTTCGGGTCGAAACCGGATGGCTGTGGTGCCCTAAAATGGGGGGGGGGTTATTGGACCCTGCTTTGGATGTGATTTCTGGAGAAGCCCAAAGGAAAACCAATTAGAGGGTTTGCAAGTTCGAGGGAGTGAGTCAAGAGCCTTGAAGTACGCCAGATGCTGAGTGTCCAGTTGTGCGCGTTTTCCACAGGCTCCACAACAGGCCCACGAGTGTGTCACGCAGCCCAGATTGCGTGCAGTGCACAAATGTGCCAAACAAATCAACACGAAGGCAGACGCTCCACATCCGATTGGTAGATGCCAGCCACAGCGAAGAGGACAGATTACACAACTCATGAAGACTGTCCGATGGTTTGATGCATGTAACAACATGTGTTTGGAGTGCCAATTTGTGCCCTTCTGTCCAGATTGAAGTGACCCGAATTCGAGCGTGAATCTCCAAGAGTCCAAGGTCAGTCTCGACAAGTCAACTCTGAAGATTCTCCGTACGATATTTGTTCAGGTGGGCTTGAAGCATCGCCGAAAGAGCGAGCCGTGCATCGCGTGCCCCGGTCGGATCAAGAGCCTTGCGAAGTGTTTCGATTCTGCCGGCAGTGCCGGGATTCAAATTCTGCCCGGCGCTCAGAGGTAGCGATTGCTTCGAGCCTCACAAACTCTCGCGGACTGCTCACGAGCCACCACCCGGGTATGATGTTTTAGTGGGGACGCTGTGGTGCATTCATAGCCTTGGTTCGTTGGCAACCCTTGTGGCCGATTGGTCCTGGCAGCTTTTCACTTCCAATCAACTCGGTCACTTTTGTGAGCGTGGTGAGCCAAAATCCGTGGCAGGGGGGGTGATGTGTGTGATGTTTCGATCCATTCCTTGGGAGTGTGCGGTGACCACAGATCCGTGACTGCGATCTGCGATGCACTAGTGGTTTCACCGATATGTCACATGTATGTGAATCCTGAGTGTCTTGAGAAACAGCGCAATGATGGCGCTGAGGAAGTACCCTCCCAAGAAAATCGTGGACGAATCGCCATGTTCGCGGGTGGGAGGGTACCCGGCAAGTAAATGGGGGAACTACCCACTGCCTCATGTGTATGGTTGGAAGCTAGCAAGGCCATAGGGAAGCTCTTGGCGAGTTTAACTTCCAACTGTGACGCGACCATTTGTCGTGTCCAGTGTCCAGTTTTGATTGAATAAGGTCAGCATTTGTGGATGTACTACACTCCACATTTGCCACACCTTGTTCTTGTCTGCATAGATGGTACCTCAACGAGGCGTGAATGATGGGAAGCCACACAACAAAGATACAAAAGGACATACTACTCACACGTTACCCATGCAGCAAGGGTTCCTGGTTTCAGGTGGTTTTGTCTGCTTGTTTTCGTCGGAGCATCAAGTGGCAACTTAGGCTCACCATGTCCGCCATCATGATCCCGGTTGCTGCGTACTGGCCTCAGGAGAGTCGCAATCCATATCGCAAGGTTTTGCCGAACTGATGGCTGGGAGGTTAAACCGGTTTGGGCCCGGGGCTCCGTAGCTTTTGCGGGGATCGCTTCTTCCGTTCAAGGGAGTTGCACATACCCTACCGGTTCCATGGGGCCCTAAGCTTTCAAGGCTCACCAAGGATTTGGATCAAAGGAACTTCATCCAGGAGTCACAGCTTTGGCGTGTGAACCGAAAAGCAAAAGCTGCTGCTTGGAGTCCGGAGGCCTTCCGCAACCCAGTTGTGATGGGAGAAGGACCCCGAAGACTAGGGGGGTTGGCTTCCCTTGGTTCTGGATTCTCCTTGCTTCCCATTCAAGACCCATTGGCCATTCCACGCTAACCTCCCTTTGCTTAGGGGCAAAAGGAAAAGTGAGAATCCATGTCTGGGGGTCTAAAACAAATCCATTTCTGGGGGTCTAACAAAAAACCATGTCTGGGGGTCTAACAAAAAAACCATGTCTGGGGGTCTAACAAAAAAACATGTCTGGGGGTCTAACAAAAAAAACATGTCTGGGGGTCTAACAAAAACACCATGTCTGGGGGTCTAACAAAAATCCATGTCTGGGGGAATTCACAAAAAGGGCCCAGCCACCTATAGCAAGAGAAGAATCACCAGACAAAGCAGGATAAAGATCACCAGACAAAGCCGCGCGCGCTTTCAGTTTCGTGGACCTGCCGATCCTTGGAGACCTGCGCCACCACCACCAGATCACCACCGCATGGCCGCTGGCTTGCGCGGTTGGGGGTTGGGTTGGCCGGGGGGGGGTGGTCGAAGGGAAGCCGTGGAGCTCAGAAAGGTCCTGGGGTTCCAAGGAAACCAAACCTAGGCCCCCCAGTGCCCTTCTGTCCCCTTTTTTGGGGGAGGGGTCCCCTACTAACACAGACTACAGAAAAAAGTTGGTGCCCTTATTCTAGCCTCTCCACTGGAGCACCTAGAAATGAAGGGTTTTCCTCACAAATCCAAGCAACAGTTCGTGGCAGAAGCTTGGTGCGCGCGTTCGATGAGTTTCTATGTGGCACCAAATGTCCGCAGTGTGCAGCTCGTCAGGGAACCCTTAGTCTCACTTCCTGAGTTCATGAAGTTTGAACTTTTTGGGGCTGGACCATTTTAGTGGTAAATATAAAGTTTGGGTACTTTTTTTGGGCCATCCACTCAGCCAGTGAGTAGTTGCTGCTTTGGATTGGTTTGGATTTGGATTTGCACCCCTAATTCCTGAGGGTAAATGGGAAAACCCGCCCCTTTGCCAAGCCACCGGGCTCCGAACCACCAAGATGAAGGCTGAAGTCGGGCTTTGGAGCAGCCCCTGTTTTATGGGGAGGTGTTCGGATGAAAAACATGGGAGCGGATGTGTGTATGTGTTTTTGTTCATGGATCGCAAGTGAAGCTAAAAAAATGGTGCAAAGACTACAAGCGAAGCGGAACAGGGCGAAGAGACAGAAACGCAACCACCCGGGACTGATACACAGCATGATAAGGCTTCATTTTGGGCATCAATTGGGCAACCCAGTTTCCCGCAAGGCCTCTCTCACTGGTCAATCGTTATGTTGCCTTGGTGGAGAATCTAGATGCCACGCGGGGTTGC